ACTATGCCAGACTTGCGTGGATCACCGTGTACATTGAAATGTATGTTTAAAAAGCGCACATTTAAATTTAAAAGTTAACGTGTCCCACAGTTTTTTATTATTTTCTATAAGGACATATGGTATATGTATGTATATAAAGGGTCTAAAGGCATGTAATAGTAAAAAGTTTTTTTCATAAATTTCAAAGAAAATGTTTCGTTTTACATCCGCAAAGTATGTTCGTTTGTGCATTGTTGCCTATGCAATACTTGGGGACGATCTATCGATGGATTCATATATAGTTTTGTCTCCTGAATTAAAATCTGAAAACTGCATTTTGATATCTCGAACCATCTTCGACATAACTGGCATCAAAGTCAAAAATAGTGACGTCACAATCCTTCTAAATATACATTCGTTTCTGCTGACACAAATAAATGTTAAATCGAAATCGAAAAGTCGACTAAATAAATTTTATTTATTAATGTTAATGTAATGTTAAATGTCTATCTACCCAATAATATAAGTATTTTTTTTTAACTTTTCTACAAGAAGAGGTCTCTTTTTATATCATTAATGATAATATTATTACTTATTTCCAAATATTGGTCTTAAAGCGTAAAATGTATAAAAACAACTTTCTATTTTTTGCCTTTTGATTAATACCACAATTAACTAATGATGTGTGAATGACAGTTTTCAAAAACTAATATTTAAGTATACTTCTTTGGAAGATTAATCATTGATTACTATTATTTTAACAGTAATCCTAAAAATTATAAATTAATTCATTTCAAATTCAGATGTTATAGACTGCTAGAATCTTAATACAACCCTGTACGATTATATAAACATCAGGTTTCACGAGTTTTGTGTATGTATTTATTGACGACTACTTTTCTGTTAAATGAATTTAATATAGTTACTGGGCAAGAATGAGACAGGATCGGACTTTCTTCAGGCGTTCTATATGTACGACGTTGGACATATCTGGGTTAATATGTCTTCCATCTTTTGAGTTATTTAGCCGTATTTCAAATAAATAAAATAATTTCAAATTTTAATATTAATTTAATTAATGTAAAAACATCTCATATGTGATTCGAATCCTAATCTTCCGCATGAAAGTACGATATACTCACCAGTTAACAACCAAGCTACGATAATTTTGTTTTGACAAGGGAGTATCGACGTCTCAAATCATAGTAGAAATTATTCTTGATGAATAATTTAATTTTGTATTAAAAAATTACTACTAATTAAACTGTTTTTACTTACATTTGCTTTATTGCCTTCAATCAGTTTTTACTTTATGCGAAATTAAAAAATGTTAATGTTCGACGGCATATGAGTACAATATTATGACTAGTCAACTAGCTCATAAGCTAAAGTCTAAAGGTGAAAACCTATCGATAGTCCTATTGTAATGTAATGTAAATTATAGGTTTCTGTCGATAATTTTCCACCTTTACTAGTTTCATCTCTTTTTATTGCACAACAGATTATGTGTTCTATCTTTTGTGTTATTTTGCCGGTTTTTAAGGTGCTCATCCCTACTAATTGCATATTGGTCGAATTATAACTTTAAAAGAAACATGTGCGGAAGATGTTATAAATGAAATGAATCAATAAAATAATTAAATGAAATGAATGAATAAAAATGAAATAAAAAATGATTAAAAATGAAGATTTAGATTAAATAAGTAAAAGACACCATAAAAAAACTAATAATACACCTCTACAATTGAAATGAAATGGCAGAGCAAAGTTGTGAGCTGACAAAAATAATGTTTGTCGACTGAAGTGACGCATAGAGATTTATATGCCTGTGACATAGAACAGACTGAAGTCAAATACAGGAATTATAACTAAAATAAATGAACATTGAAAATAAAAAATAAAAGATTAAATAGGATATTTAGAAGACAGAATATTTAGTAAAGAGAAAGTTGGTTGAAGAGTTAAATGAAAATTTTACTTTAGAATAAAAATAGTAAAATAAAATTGGAATATCTGACTTTATCTTTTAATTTACTATTTTTTCGAATTCGTTTTCTGAGGTATAAACATAAGATCTCTTAACAGCTTCACTGTCCAATGAATCATATATGATTCAAAGAGCGTGGTTATAACACTAATCCGTACGCCCATGAATCAAATGTGATTCAGGAGTAGGTATTATTTTGTCGGCAGTTTTAAAATAGAACGTGATGATAATCATCACATATGAGGGTGTTGTAATAATCATGAACTTTGAAGTGTGAAAAAAAATTGGTAAAATATTACATAGTACCCTTACATTTATGTTATACCAGTAGGGTAAAGTAACAACACAAAAATGTTTATTAGGTATATTATAAAATAATTGCCATTTGTATAGAAATAAAAATATAAAATAATTTAGTTTCTAATGGGCTGATTTAAAGCAATCCAAACAAAAGGCCTTGTCAAAGTTTTTAATATGTATGAACCTGCTTAGTTTTTAATGGTGTGCCAATTGATTTCATTTTTTTGTACCACATTGAACAGCGTTTTCGCACAAGTCTGTTATTTCGTCTCGGAATCTCTTCTAAATAATGTCTTGAGGGTCCTTAAATCGGTGGTCTTGATGATTCAACTGTTGTGGCCACAAATCCAAGATAATGTCGCATGATTTTTTCTTGTACTTACAGTACGGTTAATGTAGTATTTGTAGCTTCGTTATAAATACATCTAGCGTTGATCACTGCTACTCTAAATAACAAATCTACAGCCAGTTTCTTATACCATGTTAAACTTTTACGTAGAGGTGAATGAAATGATGCAAGCTGGTCAGCAATATCGATTCCTTTTTTTGCATTATTGTATGCAACCACTGCAGTTAGTTTCATTTTTATTCTCATTCTTTTTGTAGTAGTATCTATCATTTCTTCTCCATGGCATGTGCTAATCATTAAGACATCTCGTTTATTAAGCCATTTCAATACTGTCATATTATCTTTTTGTCTTGGATAACTTTTCTTTATCTTTCTGTAACTTGGATTTTGTTACACATAGTGGTGGTAAATCCACTCTGTTTTTTCTTAAAGTTCCACATAAATCTGTTTTGTGATCCTTCAAATAACTTGCTAATTATACGCTATTATAATAGTTACCTGCAATAATGAGGCGCCCTTCGTTCAATAGAGGTTCACATAAGTTAATGACAATTGTTGCGGGTTTATCAAGAGTTTCTATTTGAGTTGAAGCACCTGAATAAAGTTCATATGACCATGTGTAGCTGTTGAAAGTGCTTAATTTATAAACTTTGAGACCATATCTACTCGCTTTTGACGGATTGTATGTTTTTATCTAAAGCTTTCTATGAAATTTCACCATCGATTCGTCCACCACGAGTATTTCTCAAGGGATGTATAAACTACGAAACCTATCTACAATATTCTTCAAGAGTGGATCAATTTTTTTAGTTTTGCTATCACTGTTTGGTTGAATTTCAGCAAAATGCCAACATCTAAGAATGAAAATAAATCTATTATACGACATGTTTATGCGATGATAAAGGGGAAAATTATACAATACATCCAATTTCCAATAGTTTTCTATTTTAGGCATTTGGACAATACCCATAAGTAAGATAACACCAAAGAATTTTTCAAGTTCTTCTTTGTCAACATCTTTCCATCTAGTCATTCGACTGCTATGGTTCGTTCGCATTTGTTTCAAAATTCAGGCATGATTATTTGTATGAATTACCATTTCATCAATTAAAAAGTCATTCAAAAAGTATTCAAATATTTTTATAATGCTTACTTGACCAGTTGAATCTGTGATTGCATCAAAGTTTTGGATCCCCGAATTTCCAGAAAAGTTTTCCCTTCCTGCCGACAATACATTAGACGACCACACTGTCTCCTGCTGCAATATTCGTTCTTCTAGTGTAAGTTTCGTAAACTGACACCTTTAGTTGGTCTTTTTTCTTTGGGGTGAGCTGCTTGTGAAGTAACAATATTTGTACTAGTACTTGGAGCATCTAGATTCTCTTCAACGTATTATAAATTTGCTTTTCTAGTCAATTCAACATTTTCTGCTTCACTATCGGTCGAACTGTCTTGTTCATCATATTGCCGCGGAAAATATTCGTCGCCACTTTCAGTACTGTAATCATCAATGATTTCATCTTCATCTGATTCTTCTAATAATCGTAATAGCTCTTGCTCAGTTAATCTCTTTGACATTTTGAAATTTTTTTCATACTGTATCAACTTCGTTTATACCTAGATCGAATATCAGAACTGAATTAACAACTAAGTAATAAATGGAACTATCTACGGAAATATTTCGCAAAAGTATTTATACGTTATATTTTGATTACAAAGCACATTCAGTGAATAATTATATAATTTGTTCATATATGATCCAAGGAACGTGAGAGTATAATTTATATAACGGCACGTCCGTGAATCATATGTGATCATTAAATTTTTTTAGAAGAACGCTGATTTGACTTTTGAATATATTTAGTGATAATAAAAATCGATATTTACTGCCGTTACATGATATTTAATATTAAAATAGCATTGGACGTGATAGACTCTTTGTACCTACATATTACCATTTGGACAGTGAAGGTGTTTATTTGATTAACTACATTCTTTTAATACAATATAACTTTTTTTAACTGAAATTAGTTAAAAACACGGTAATAAACCTAACGCACTCTGTTTTAACTAATATAGATGATTTTATCGCGTGTTCACTTGGCAATTATATAATAGAATATAAAACGTTGAACCTGGCAATAATGTTTAGAATTATAATAATTATAAGAATGAACTAAAATAACATCAGTTTGATCTTGGTGACAAACTTTATAAGATCTTACAAAAAATAACTTTCTGGAAGAGAGGTGAAGCTTTCAATGAAACTTGTATACCAATAACACCGTATTGGTGTATAGTAAATAAGAAACAAATCTGACCAATCTCAATAAGTTAAACTCATCATTGTAACGTTGTATATAAATTTAATGATTTTTTTTTTAGAACTGATTCCTCTCATAAAAACCAATAGCGCATATTTGTATTCGCTCTCCTGGTCACCTGATTACTCCATGCTGCTTAACATATCGAAATCTGGTCACATCATTGCCTACACACTTAATTTAAAGGTTATCTGTAAACACTATTTCAAATACCGTCTTCTAGAAATAGTATGGCATCCTAATGCAATGGACGATGATGACGTGTCCGAGGATACTGGTCCCAATAAGTATAAAAACTGGTTTGCTTCAATAGCCAACTATCACACTGTCGTTGTATATAAATTTGATATTGAAAGTGGTAATAATGATGAGAATATCGTCAATGTATATCGTGGCGAATCAGACATGATAAACTCAATCTCTTGGAATCCTTTTGGATCATCTCAATTGGTTATAGCATTGGAGGTTGGAATAATTCAGGTAAGCGAACACACACACACGCTCGTAACTTAAATTTCTTAAATCATGTGATTTATACAAATGACTTAGTGTGTCTGTCCTATGCTTTTAATAATATTTTAATTGTGACGTCTACGCATACTTGTTAGCACCGAATTTTTACATGCTTGTCAATATTACTTCTTGAAAAAGTCATGGATTTCCTGCCGAAACGTCGAAAGAAAAAAATATGAAAATGTCTTAGTATCAAAACAAGTTTTTTTATGAACCTAAGCCCAAGAAAATCCAGGTATATTATATACTTGCTTTTAGTTCTTTGCTAGCATGTGGAGCCATTTTTTGAGGTTGAACAGAATAAGTTATCTGAAAAATTTTAAGATTCGGCAGTGACAGTGACATTATGTAAATAATAAGTATTTATCCTTCAAAATACACTGCTCAATTTTCTACAAAATACGCCTTAAGAGTCTTATCAGTTTTTTTAGGAACCAGTTGTATATTAATTGTATTACTGTTTCATTATAGTAAAATACTGATCTGTTCCTTAAAAAAACAATAGACAACCCCAGTAATGGAAGTTACTTTAAGTATATCTTCTTCGCATGCCATATCAGAATTATCCCACCTTGGCGATTACCATTGCGAAGGCTTCTCGATCTTCTGCAATATGGAATAATTGTCCTGAATTTGATTTCCGAGTCCATTCACGAATGTTCCTCAACCAAGAAACCCGTTTCCTTCCTACACCTCTACGGCCCACTATAGTACCTTTAAGGATCAGTTATAATATTTTATATCGACTTCCCCTTGCTATATGTCCCAGATAAGACATTTTTCGATATTTAACAGTCTTTAGCAGTTCTCTATTTTTGTTGACGCTCCTTAGTACTTCTTTATTAGCTTTCCTTGCTGTCCAAGGTATCTTCAACATTCGTCTAAGAACCCACATTTCTAATGCTTCAATTTTGTTCATGATTGATACTTTGGCGCTCACACTTCTCTGCACTATACAAAAGTACGGACAAACATAGCACTTAACCATTCTTTGTCTTAGTTCTAAACTGAGATGATTATTGCTAAGAAATGACTTAATTTTCATAAAAGTAGTTTTAGTCATTGCTATTCTACGTTTTATTTCTATGTCTGGTTCCAGTTGGTCCGTTATCACAGTTCCTAAATATGTCATTTTGTGAACTTTCTCAACTTGGACTCCGTTTAATTAAAGCTTTGCATCGGGATGTGGGTCACGACTAAACACTAAAAATTTGGTTTTTTTAGTGCTTATTATAGGACAAGTTTATTTTAATGCCCATTTCCTCTCCTACCTCGTGAATACGATCAAGCAGAATTTGGAGACGTTCAATATTATCTGACAGAATTACTGTATGGTCTGCATATCTAATCACATTAAGTAGTTCCCCATTGATTTTTATTCCATATGGTTGTCTCTCAAGTGCTTTTTTAAATAACTGGCGACAAAATGCAACCTTAGTCTGACTCCTCGTTGTATGGAGATTTAATCGGTGTAGTTATCTCCAATTTTTACGATAGCAGTTTGACTCCAGTACAATTTTTTAATGACACGAATATGCTTGTCATGTATTCCGATATTTTTCAGTATTGGCATTAATTTTACATGCTGTACTTTATCGAATGCCTTTTCGAAGTTTACGAAACATGCAAATACATCTTTTATTTGGTCACGGCATTTTTGTAATAGGATGTTAAGCGCAAAAAGTGTCTCCCTGGTTCCCCTAGCATTTCTAAATCCAAATTGGGTATCTTCGAGATCTTTTTCGCATTTGCGTCTAATTCTGTTGTGAAGTATTCTTAGGAAAATTTTAAGAGCGTGGCTCATTAGGCTAATCAATCGAAATTCTGAGTATTTTCTCGCATTGTGTTTTTTAGGTATTGCGACAAAGATGAATTTGAGCCAACCTGTGGGAATCACTCTGGTGTTATATATTGAATTAAAAAGTCTTACTACTACTTTTATGTTATCATCCTCTATTAGTTTTAGCAACTCATTTGGTGTATCATCTGGACCACAAGCTTTTTCTAATTTTAGCAATATTTATAGCGTGTTCTACTTCGCATTTCATAATTTCTGGGCCGTCTGTACAGTTTTGGTACAATTCTGCAGTAATATTCCTGTCATCTTTAAACAACTCTGATATATACAGCTGCCGTTCTTTTCTTATTTCGTACTCCTTTACAATAATTATTTTGTTATTATTGTCAACGAGTACAGAGGGAACTCGTTTTTTTTAATATGTTACTCATTTCTTTTAGTTTTTTTTTGCACATTAAATAAGTCGTGTTTAGGTATTACATCCTCCATTTCGTCGCAACTTTCTGTCATCAATTTTTCTTTGGCTAATTTGATCTCCTTTTTTACTCTTCTCTGCAGGTGTCTATATTCTGTTTCATTAGATTTTATCAGTCGACGTTGTTCCATTAATTTCAAGATGTCGTCTGTCATTCATTTATTTTTCTTGATTAAGTTTTTTCTATAATCATTGTTTATGGAGATTTCGTTAACATGGTTTTTAAATTCACTCCATAGTTCTTCTGGATCTTCTAGTTGTTCTCCGATGTTTTTTATTATATTGTTAAATTCTTTTTTAATGTTATGTTTTATGTTTATATCGTCAAAGTTAAGTACATTAGTTTTTGTCGCTGAATCCGTTTTCGTTTAAGTATATACCAAAACCGAAAAAATAGTAATCTTTTTGGAATAAAATAGTACCAAGTCAAAACAATGTGTGTAAATCTGTATTTAGGATGATGTCTTTCATTCAGGATGTTGTTTCGTATTTTTATCAGCTAAAGCAAATTTCTTCTCCTCACTTTTGATTTTACGTTTTGGTTTAAACTTTCAAATACCTCTCGTATAAAAGGATATATTTTGAATTGGGACAGTCTTCTTTCCAACGTGTCTTAGATTATTTTATTTTCTTAAAAATTGTGTTGTGAAGAAATCAATATATACAAGTAAATTATGTAGTGTTTATAGTTATTTTGACTTGCTTTAATTACATTCCTTTTATATCAATTTTGTCAATATCAACAAGTGTAACCAACACTTCACATATATGCCACTGAATGAATGCCAGGCTTTGGCAGTCGTTTCAGCGGTTGGGGGAGTCCGGTAACTCGAGACCAAAGTACTTCGTTCACACTACTTCCTCATAAATTGAAATAAATATAAATTAGAGTACACTGTCAGATATGTAAATTTTCACAAGCTATTTCATCTTTGTACTTTACACAAAGCACTTTGTTCAATTTAACTTTGTGGTTTATTTATTTTAATACTTTTCTAATAATTGTATGTTGTTTTTTAGATTTGGGATGCAGAAACAGGAGCAATCACAGCTACAATTGAAAGTGCAAATTATGAGCCAGTTACTGCAGCCATCTTCAGTCCAATCAATCCTGATTATGTTATCTCAGGAGGGAAAGATAATACGATAAGAATTTGGAGAATTTCTGATCATCCACCAAAGGATGAAAAAGGTTAGTATACTTGTACCATATACCACTTAGTTGTTCAGTGAACTGAACGATGTTCGAACGAACGTTCATGCGATGTAACTCCCAGATACTCCAGATGTTCAGAGGTCAGTAGTAATACAGATATTTTATACTTCTTTAACAACTTGTGATCTGATAATTTGCTCAGCTGAAGTAATGTACCTGACAAAATTTTTCTTGTTGGCGGTTTATATCCAGGAATCCACCCTGCAAACTTTTTAAAAGCTCGTTCTTCAACTATGGAAAACGGATGAAATGAGTCTTTGCATAGGTTTAGTAAATCCATATCTATTTGTTTCTTTTGTTCTAAACTAATATTTTTATTACTGGGAGTATCCATCACCTTTTGACGCTTGGGTGGCAGTGGCAGTATGTCAGTACTTGTAGTAGAAGTAGTCGAAACGGACAGAAATGCGTCAGGAGAAGTTTCAATCATTGCAATATTCAGAAAGTGTACCATAAAAGCTGCATCTTCTACAAATGTGCATTTTTTTGAAAATTAAATTATTCTTATACTAGGTCAATAATTTTGATTAAGAAAAATAATTCATAATTGAATATTTACCATAAATAAATCTTACCAATACCTAGTTATAAAAAACAAAAGAAAGAGTTAATAAGCTGGTTACTTCTTATATCTTACACTAAATGTCTATAAGGTTCTCGCTACACAATACCTCAATACACAAGACAGTTAATCCTATTTGCATGGTAGATTATTCCAGAACTTTCATATATTGATGAGATGAAGAGTTTCGAACATGATTTATTGCTGGAACGATCTGGAATGATGTAATGATATAAATACCAGGTAATTTGCAGCAGGCAGGCATTATTAGCAGGCAGGCAGTTACAGTCAATTATTAAGATAGTAGAAGGCATTAATTAAGTAAGAAGAAGTCAGTCAGTCAGTTACAATTGATTAAGTGTGTAGCGTCGATGCGTAATAAACATCCCGCACACACATTAAGTTCAAGCCAGAATAGCTCAATTCGAAGAGGAATGGCGGGGTAAGGTCAAGTGGATAGAAATTACATAATATCTCAAAAATCCAAACACAATCAGATAATCCGAAATTATAATTTATTATTGGACGCCACCCCTTGTTTATCCTAGTAGGGGACGAGAGAGAATAAAAAAAATAAGATATATAGAAAATTTACAGCGAAATTACACTTTATTATTTCTCAGTAATAAAAAGAAACATTAAAAGTTGTTATTTCCAAAGGATACTAAAATACCATTTCATAATTACATTACTATAAACAAAACAACTTTATATCGTATTAAATCAAGAATTAGTTGAAAAAACAAATGAATTTATATATTATTTCCACATTTCGAAATTCGTTTACATTTAAAATATTATAGTAGGTAGTTACATGATATAAGGATACCAGATATGATATTGCCACGCACTAAACTCGTACACTCACGCGCATGACGTCACCTTGTGCTAAATTTTCAAAATGTATTCATGCTTGCGGATGAAACGAACTGTTGGAATTCTAATATAATTTACTAGATGTTTTATTTACTACGTGAATTTAAGCTTAAGTATTTAAATTAGTATATTGTAAAAAATAACAATTTTCGCATAAGAGTGAATTTTGATGGAGGGAGCTATGGAATGTGATTTTCATACAATATATGTTTTATACATAGTAGTTAGGTATTATTGACTGACACGTTAGGTAAAATATTTCTTTTGAGGTTGCAGTCATTAATAGGGCAGAATAAGTAAAACTCTTTGTTCTTTTATTTAGCTTTCACAAAAATTTATTAGCTTCTTCAGGATATGCTAAAATATGGTTATAATTATTTAATCTCCCAACTATATATATATATATATATATATATATATATATATATATATATATAAAGTATTCAACTAGTTAAAGTATTCAACAATTCAGAGGTTAATCGGTCGTTCAGGTTGGCAAAATAAAAAACAGAAGTCAACTACTTCATAAGTTTATAGAAGACATTTCGCTTTATACTTCTAAAGCTTCATCAGTTCTAACTCAATATGTAGTCAGAGAACTACGAACGCTGTGTTCGTATGTTCTCTGATGTAGTATTAAATATGTTATTAGTAGAAGTACAACGTTTGGATCACTATAGAGATAGGGAAATCAATGTGTTAGAGAGAGAAGTATTTTTGTAGTGAGTAAGAGTGAGATAGATGACGTCACGTCGAAGGAATCTCCTCAACCGTAATTCAACTATTGTCCGCTAGGTGACGCGTAATTCAACTATTGTCCGCTAGGTGGCGCCGCCAGTTTCAATCCAATTTTAAATTAAAATATTAAATAAATTAAAAATTTTAAACAAAGGAATCTACATTACCGACTGTCATAGTTCAGCTATCCGCTAGTTGGCGCCGCCAAACATTCGCCATTTTTAGTCCAATGTAAGCTAGTTGGCGCTATTTTTTAAATTAAAATATTAAATAAATTAAAAATTTTAATCTAACTTTTATAGTTCTGTGCGGAACGCTCTTCTTCTTTTTGTCAACTGTCAATTCTTGTTAGGGTCCATAATCGAGACATAACAGATATGAAATAAAAGGTGTAGTAAATTAAATACCAAAATATGTTAAACATTTCTTTATTTTTTCTTAGAATAACGTTACACAATGTTTTTCTTTTTATTCTTTCCGCAACTGCCAATTCTTCTTCTTTTTTCGTAGAGTTATGGACAATAAAGATTGTAGATATGTAGTGCCTAAACGACTTAACGTAGAGATACATGGACAATAAAGGTTGTAGGTATGTAGTGCCTAAACGGCTTAACGTAGAGAGATATGTGAGGTATCATGCCATAAAGGCATTAGATAAAAATGATTGGATTTATCCAATACAGGTGATTTTTACGTAACGCGTGACTTTAAGTTTTCAGTACCGTCATGTCTTTGAGTGAGTACAGACATAAAGTTGCACAGTTTCAAGAGAAACTCGTTGAGTTACGAAAAGATATTAAAGTATATCAGGATTTAAGAAAAATTATCACACAGTTAGAGAACCTACATATTAGTGATAGTGTCATAAATTGGAATTCAGAAATAATACAAGAGCAGCAGCAAAGCACCTATATTTATGCAGATAGACGACTACCATAAGCAACATATTTACCTATGGGCAATAATAACACAACCTGCGAGATCATGAAAAGTAAAATTAATAATATATTCGCATTGACGTGTTTAATTGTAATGCCTGTATTTATCTTGATTTTAAAAATTATTAACAAAAAATGTAAATAGAAAATTTGAATCTATATGTAATATAAAAGTTAATGAGTAAATAAGGAGTTTTAATTAAAAGTCAATAGTTTTCTATATTTTTTTTATTTATTTTAAACATAATTATACAGGTAATATTGTATTACAGAACCATTGTCGTAGGTGATCCACGTTTCTTTGGGTACATAAAAACAGTCCATTGTAGTGACAGGGGTTTGTATCAGGAGCAAATTTGCAAACGCAAGGTGTACAATCAAATTTGCAAACATCAATAATTGTAGGAAAAACTCCAATCATATTACATTTCTGTCTTAAAAAATCTGCTTTTTTTTCTCCTCGAACGTAAATGTAATCGGCAGCATACAATAACTTGGATTCTAGTACTTGATTTATTTTGGAATATTCAACATCACCATTGGAATATCGAATGCCATGCACGTTTTTCTCCAAGAAGAATACAGTCTTCTTATCTTGATTAGTTAATGAAGCAAACGGTTGCGGAGACGTAAATATGTAATGACATCGTTTAAAACCAATTTCAATGCTGAGTTCCTTGGGTACAAACCATCCATCTATCATAAATCCCTGTATGTCGACTAAAGCAATCCTCATTATTGAGCGCGATAATTGATACTGAGTGACATATTCTGTAAACCTACTTAAATAATATTTTTGACAACTTCTGTTAGAGGAAAGTATTCGAGTAGGCTGTCGTGAACAATTAAACAGTAGACTCGAGTGCCTGCCGGAAAACCTTCATCTGCTTCGATTTCCAGTTTAACATCAACGGTTCCTGATCTGAATGACGTATCATCCTGCTTAGAACAGTCAAAAACAAATAAGGCATATTTCTTGAATGCAGCATAATCTAAGATAGGATGTTTTGTTGAGGAAAGAGTATAACTAGGAAAGAATTCCGTATAGTTATAGTGAGCTATAGCATAGTCATTTTTTGCAAAATCCAATTGCATTCTCTCGTTAGGCCAATATTCTCCATTAATAACCAATCGTACGCTGGACATTCTAATGTGATCAAATAACGTTGGATCGGCGTGTATGTCATCTCGTTTAGAAGTTTGAAAAGCCACAATGACATAACGTGGACGTTCAACAGATGAAGTTGTCTTTACACTCCATATTTCACGTCGAGATCCTGGCGTAAGTGAAGGTAGTTCATTGAGCTCCCATTTACGGAAAGGTATAGTTATCGGTGCATTATTCTTAATCGGAGTCATTAATTCAATTTTCATATCATCATTGGGAAAGACATGCTTGACCTTAAGTTCCATGCTGGCAACAGTTAAAGATACTGTTGTTGTTGTTGTATCATTTGGTTCTTCCACTAAAATACAGTCTCTATCATTACGTGCTCGAACAAATCGAAACACTTGACGACCATAGGTTAATTTATTGTAATCGTTGAAAATGTTAAAAATATGTTTTATCGGAATCAGTAAACTAAAGCTGTCTCCCGATATATGTGGATTATTTGGATAGTTCCATCCTGCAGTACTGAGAAACTTAGAATCTTCAGGTGTATAACATAACAAACTGCGAATAGTGCTAACTACACCTGGGTCTCGAACTATTTCCATATCGTGTGAGCTTTGGATATATGTACATGTATCAAACAAGAACGCTCCAGCATTCGGTGCAAGAGAAACCACTCCATTACCTACTTTCTCTATACTTCCTTTAATTTCCAACAGAGTTTCGTGTATCGCAAAAAATGCATCTG